ACCCCCCCCCCCCCAACCCCAGCAGCACCACCACCACCACCCCTCCCTTTCCACCTCCACCTCGCTGATGCCTCTGCAAAAAGCAGAGCCAAGGCGCCTCAGTTAGCAGCATGTCTCGTCGGAAGCAAGCGAAGCCGCAGCATCTCAAGTCGGACGAAGAGCTGCAAGCGGAGGTAGTTTCTGAGCACGGTAAGGGCTCCCGGCGCCTCTCTCTCCGTTTCTCTCCCTCTTTCTCTTCTTTTGTGAATGTGTTTCCGATGGAGATAGGTGGATTTACGATGCTGCTGAGCAGGGCAGAGCGATTCCTCTGCAGCGGGAGAAGGGGAGTGAGCGCAGCTGGGGGGGAGAGTTGGGTATGTCATAAAAATTGTGAAAAATAGGAACCTTAAGGTCATCTGTGCCTGAAAAATTGCTACCAGATGTTTGCGTAATATCAAAGAGGTTACCGTGATGGAAATTAAGCAGTATTTCTAAGCAATGTATTTAGTTTGTTGGTAGCTTTCTCATTCCCTCTTGAATGTGGAGGACGTTTTGCTTCTTCCTTTTTGAAGCAACATTTTACATGTGTATTATATACTTCTCAGTCTTCTTTCTGTTCTTGAAATGAAGCATCTCCAGTTCTTTCAATGGGTTTCCTCCAAGAACCTGCTAGTTAGATGTTGCTCCTTATCCTGTGTCTTCCAGATCCTCTCTAATTCAGTTAATGGATTATTTGAAAAGCAGAGTCCTAAACTGATCAAAGTACTTCAGAGGAGGCCTCACTGGCAGGGTGGAAGCTGCCTATGAGTGTTTCAGACTCCACTTTCATGTTTCTTTATTCCACTGTAGTGCTTCCTTTTTTTTTTTTTTTTTTTTTTTTTTTTTTTTTTTTTCTCCCCCTCTTTCTCTCTTCCAGAGCAGGGAGTTGCGCGTCTCTTGCTTTCCTGTCAGTGCTTTCCCCATCCCCGCGTACCGCAGCCCATCCTCACTTTTCCTGCGCTAAGTTGAGAACCTCTGCTCCAAAGTTTTCCCTTTCGCCTTCGCGTGCAGCTCGCCTGCTCCCTTGGTTGCTTGCACAAGGGGGGAGCCCCTCTGTGTTCTGCTTTCTGTCTAGGCCCCTCGCTGCTCTCTTATTCTGCTCTCTCTTCCCAAAAAAGAAAGTGTTTTTTTTTTTTTTTTTTTTTTTGAGTTCTTCTCTTGCTATAAAACTGACTTTTAAGTTGCATCTATCTGCAGGGAGGGAAGGCAGGAAAGTTGAACCCTGAGGGAGGATTTTGGCTATTGTATCTGAACACTACAACCTTCAGGCTTAAGGCAGCATGAAGCCACCTCATCAGGTTAAAACATCTGTCAGATGGGCAAATCTTTATGGGAGCGCCCTGCATGTCCCTCTCCTTCCTGGGATTTTGGGGAGCCAGGGAGCGAGTCCACGGTGCCCAGGCAGAGTAGGAATTGGGCTCCCACTGCTGCTTCAGGAAAAACCTCCCCGCTCCCCAGACTATCACAGGCACCAGGAGAAATGTTCCCCTCCGGCACAGCAGACCACCAAACCAGGGCATTTTAAATTACAGTTTTCTTAGGAAAGGCCAGGAGTGAAAAATAGTGTAGGCGAGGAGAGGATAATTATTATTTCATTACGTAAAACAGATTAGTTAGGTACAGCCTCTATTGGGGTGGGTTCTAGGTTTAAGATTTTGTTGCTGGTGTTACAAACTTTTAAATGCCCAGAATCCAGTTCAATATGGAAAAATAAAACCCAGCTACTTCATTATGACACTCCTGGCGAGTTAATAAGTTGGAAAAAAAAATGTTAAACTACGTTTTTGTTTTGTTTTGTGAATCTTATCTATGTAGCCATGTCACCCGAGATTAGAACAAGAGATATGCTAAAAAGAAACGCTTGCATATGGTGGGTAGATTAAGGACAAAGAATCTTTTTGTCATGGAAATGTTTTTTTTTTCCCCCTTTTTTGGGGGGTTTTGTTTTGTTTACTTCATCACATAGAATTTCTCACACTTGGTTTGTTTTGTATTGCCCTCAATGACTACATGATCAAATGAATGGATTTATTTCTGCCGAATGAGAAAGACAGTCTTTCCATCAAAAGGACTACATTGCATCCCAGTGAGGAATTTTAAAGCGTTATTATTGTGGTCCCTGAATAGCACGAAATCGGCTTTCACAGCAGCCCTAAAATGCAACAATGTAAATACTTTCCAGCCTTAAAAGGCTGTTATCAAAATGTGCTATGTTTCCTTTTATTAAAACATATTTTAATTAATAGTGAAACCCTTCATAGTTAACAATTAACAGACTAAAGTAGTGCTGTTGTTTTCTCACGTTCATTTGAGAAATGTGCACAAGGTGGGCACAGTATATGCGAGTGGAAGGATATCTAGTGAATATTAGTGTGTTGTAAATAATTTACTTGTTATATTATGAAGGCTAATGATTGCTATACGGAAAGCAATTTCAAAGGCAAAATAAAATGATTGCTCCAAATCTGGAGAATTAAAATTCTTCTTGTCAAGTCAGTCTTTTTCATTTCTATTCACAGCTGTAATCGAGATATTGCTACAGTTCCTGGGCATATTTTATAACAGGCCTAAAATAGTTTGCACAGCACAGAATAGACAGGAGCCTATTTGTAGTATTTAAATAGCAATCTGTTTAAGCAGTATTATTTCATACATGTAGACTCTTCACTTATTTGGCTGTGTTTCTCTGCAATGATGTTATTGTTAACACAAGATTCAGCAAAGTTCGTTATTTGTTTAATGAAGTCATGTTCAATACCACTCCAAAAAAACATTTTATTAAGTGAGGCATTTTAAACTGAACGTCCCATAAGTGTAATCCTTTGAATGAAAGGGTGTTCACAGTAGCAAAAAGAAGCCTGACTTTCCAGGGAGCAGAAAGGGAGATTAAAAAAAAAAAAAAAAAAAAAAAAAAAAAAAAAAAAAAAAAAGGCCTAATGTTTAAGTTGGCTGATCTGACCATAACTTCAGTGGTGAGGCTACTGCAGAAGTTTTCAAATCCCAAGAAATAATTTTGTAGCTAGCTTGGACTGCAACATAATACAGCTGCATTCTAGCAGGGCAATGTTGTGGTGGTAAGAAACTGTTTGAAAACTGAAAATAATTGGCAATGTCATTAACTGAAAATTTACCCTGAAAATCGTTTAAAATTATTTGTTGAAAGTGAAATGCTAAAATACATTTAATTCTTTTTAAAAGAAGTGCTAACAAGCAGCCAGTGATAATACATTACTTTACACTGTAGTGTAGAAGAGTGAACAAAAGATGCCTATTCAAAAAGCACTCTGAGATTACTAAATTAAAAGATATGACGAAAAAAAAAATAAGAATAGCAGTAGAAGGATTGAAGTGGCTGCCTGAAGAATCTAATAATCTCAGTTTCTCAGTAAATGCGGAAGCACTGCAGTATCTGGAATTACATTTCTAGCATACTTTTGTAATTCATCAGGTTAAAACGAATCAGAATTATGATGATCTGCTGAAGCAGTATAAGCCAGTAGATACAATGCACATAACTTGTACGCTGATCAATTTACTGTTTTAAGCTAAGGATATATATATATATACACACACACACACATATATATAAATAGTCAGAATTAAAGTTTTTTTTTAATGCTAAAACATGATTTCTTCTGTACAAGTTCTGGGGAGGGTGATGGCAACTGATGCTTTTGACTTTTTTCATGCTAAATTACTAGCAAAGATGTATCATTGTTTAATGTGAGGTGAAAGGAATAGCTTATAGGCAACTATATAATGATAGTTTTGAAATATGTATTTTTTGCAATCTTTTAAAATATTTGACTTTTTAAAATTCCTGTAGTATGCACAATACACTCTAAAGCTGCTTTTTAATACTTATAAAATGAAATTAGGTAATATAGCTTTGAACAGGTAATAATTGTACTCCATATTCTTTTAGAATTACGTACCCAGATGCACATGTTGCGCTACAGAAACGACACCACATGTTGTGGAGCTTCATACGAGTATGTTCATTGTACATATGTGTAGATATATGTGTATATATATAGTAAACACATTTTGAAGAACATTGTTTCATACAGAAATGAACTGTGTGCCACATCATTTAGACATTACTGCGTTTAGAACTTGAAGTCCTAAGCAGCTCTCGGTAAACGTTGAACCTGCTTGAATTTTGCAAATGCTTGTTCTGAGGCTTCAATGGCAAAGATGGCTTTTTGATTTCAAAAGGACAGGCTCAAAAAGTATTGTTATAAATTGGCACTTTGCTTGAAGCTTTATATAAATATTTCATGAGTAGAGACTTAATATTCACACTCTTATATCTGTATTTTCCTCACTTTTTTTAGCATTCTTACAATTTTGATCAGTGTTAGCAATAGAAAAATCTTTGGATCAATGGGGAAACCGCAACAATCAGCCAATTTGCTAGGAATGTATAATGATGAAAGTAGACAAAACTGGGTCAGATTTTATCTAGGTGCTAATCTCAATGAAGTTTTGCCGTCTCCTAACATAGATAAGGCTGTTTTTTGGAGTGGGAGGGAGGGAATTATGAAAGGTATTAATCTTAAATTTTCTGTTGTTAAGCTAGTAATAAGCCTATATTTAGCTGTTTAAAATCAGTTGCATAAAAAAGAGGAAAGGGTACAATTTGAGAAATGGGTGGCGTTGAAGAAAATATTAAAAATAAATTTATGAGCATTAGTGTCGTTTCTGAAAAATAGTTTGAGTCATGGAAGGTTTTCCAGGTACTTTTCTTTCATTTGATTTGTTGACTGCCACGACAGGACAGATGTATCTGTTGACTGTCCATCAGTCAGGACATGAGTCAGTTTTACTGATAGTAAAACAGGTCTGGTAGGACATTAAGATAGTTGAGTGCTAGCATAATGTTTTACAAAATAAAGCATGCAAAAATCATTTCTCATATAATATTTGTATTGTGAGAGTAATTCGCTATAATTTTTCAGAAGAAGTTTTGAATAAACTCAATTCCAGTAGTACAATTTTATTAAATTACACATTTCAAGAAAAAGGGCCAAAATCCTGTTTCTTTTACCCCCTCGCATTTCCCACTGAACGTATTGGGTGTTTTCCATTAATAAAAAAAAAGGGACTTGGGGACAGAATGTGCTTTTAGGAGCCGGTCCAATTGCAGTGTTGTTGGAGGTGGACTTCAT